TCTGGGTTTAAGAGGCAGAAAATTGTGTGGATATTCTGGCGTTTACTTGAGACTATCGTAGCAGAGGCATAAAATAAGGTGAAAGATGATAGAATAATTTCTACTCTGGAGAGACAAAGCAAAATTTTTTCCCTCAAGATAAAATAATCCTGCCTTCTTGCCATTCTCAAGGTAAATGCCTAGGAGAATCCTAATTTATAGGTACCTTGGGCATAAGCTTCCTTGACTAGCACTTCTGAGGACTCTTCCTTAATCTCACATTTAAATATATATAAAGGGTTTAGGAAGTGCTTTCCCTGCAAAAACCCTGTGAAGTACTTCAAAAAAAAATCCCTGTCACAGATGAAACTGAAGCTCAAAAGTCAGAAAGTGTCAAAGAATTCACACTCAGGTATTCATTCTCCCAAGCCTAGTGCTCTGTCTCTACTATCCAACACTGGTATATTACCAAATGATAATAAAATTGGCCACCCTTGTTATGTAGTAAAAGTGTCTCACTAGAAGTCATTTGAAGTAAGGGAAAAGGCAACTTTCAGGATAGGTGGTTGGGGGGAATGTTTGCAGATACTTGAACTTTTAAGCTATTACATCTTATTGCACTAAGACTTGATACTAGATACACTGCTGGGAAACATGCCTTATTTGAACTGTAGGGGATTTCAGAGAAAATAGATTTCCTTACTGGTATACTTGACTAACATAATAGATGTTATCTTGAAAAGTTGTGTGTAACTAAAGAGGGTTCATGTTTTTAAAGTAACTACTATAGGTTTTTTTGTACTAGAATCAACAGATTACAAAACTGGAAGGGACCTTGGATATCTGTCCAACTCCATTATTTTTTAAAAACTTTTGATACCATTTGTCTTCATTAGTCATTACCACCACCCCACCATGACCTCCAGATTGAACTCTTACCTGTCTCTCCTACAATTCCTCCCACTTAGCCAATTGAATATATACATATTGTATGTGTGCATACGTATTGTGTATTTTATGTATGTATTAGCCATGTCCAAAAATGTGTTTTCTGCATTTAAAGTTCATCCTTCATCAGGAGGTAAAGGGTGTATTCAATCTTTATTTTTGTAGTTTGTCATTGCATTGGTCAGCATGCTGAAGTTTTTCAAAGTTGTTTTTCTCAACAATGTCATTGTATAAATTGTCATATTTCTGCACTAGTTCATAAAGGTCTTCCCAGTTGCCTCTGAAATTGTCCCTTTTATAATTTCTTATAGCCCATTTATATGCCTTTACATTTATATACTTCATTTTGTTTAGTCATTCCCCAATAGAACACCTGCTCAGTTTCTATTTTTTCAGTATAACAAAAAAAGCTGTTAAATTTTATATGTATAGAACTTTCTTTGGTTTCTTTTGATTTCTATAAACATGGGAATGTTATAGCTGGGTTAGAGCATCTGCACTACTTCCCTCCTTATAGGTCCTGATTCCTTTCCAGAATGGCTGGACCAATTCACCTATCAGTAGTGCACTAGAGCAAAATTGTCAAACATGGGGCCCACAACATTCCACCAGAACCAGATTAAAATGTAGTTGGGAAATACTTAACAAAATAAAATATAAGAAAATGCAGGTGATGTTAATTCAGGGTTTTCTAAGTCAGTATTCAGCCTGCAGGGATCCCTGTTTGATTTGGTGGCCTTTGTTCTATTTGAGTTTGACATCATTCTCCTACAGAACCAGTTTTTCCACAACTCCTCCAATATTTGCCATCCTTGCCATGCACTCTCCCATATAATAAAACTGATAAGCAAAAACATCCATTACAGAAGCTTTGTCTGACAAGGTATACATCACATCTCTGTTTTGAGTGTTTGCTTTTTGAAGTTGAATTTCATTTTATCACGATTCTCATTTTACAGATAAGGATACTGAGGCCCAGAAAGGTAGGTGACTTGCCCAAGGTTAAGAGGCAAGGTTCAAACCTGAGTTTGTGACTCCAATCTAGAGTTCTTTCTACTGTAGTTTTTTACCTCCTGGTCTAGTGGAAAGAAAGCTTAATGTGGAGTCATAAGACCTGAGTTTAAACCCTGGCTGTGCCACCTACTAGCTGTGTGACTCAGAGCAAGTCAACAGCCCTATGAGGTAGATAGTATTATATTATCATCATGCCCCAGATCGCACAGCTAGTAAATTTCTTAGGCTGGATTTGAATGCAGCTCTTTCTCATTCCAAGTCCAGCAGTCTTGTTCCAGATGACCTCTTAAGGTACTTTCCAATTCTGGATCTATGACCTCCCACTCATTACCTTCAAATTTGTAGTTTTCTCAACAATAATTATATTTTAGTAACTGATCACTTATTTGTACTTTGGACAATATAGGAGTCAGAGCATGATTGCATTTTATTACTAAGCCAACCAAATAAAACCTTTTATCATTTATGGCTGTTTAGACATATATAGTGTTGCTATTATTCTTATTTAAATATTTTATAGTTACTTTAGTTGAGATCCTGCCTCTGACACCAGCTGTTCAACCCTAGCAAGCAACTTAACCTCTTTGGACCTCAGTTTATTCATCTGTAAAATAAAAGTGTTGGACTCACTGGCTCTCATTTATAGCTCCAAATCTATGATCCTATAAATATCAACAATAGTATTTTCTTATAGATGACCTCTTTCAGAAATGATTCACTACCATAATTATAGTTGTGACATTTTAATTCAGTCTGCTTTAGTGGTATAGCCAATTCTTGTCCACATAAAGCTCAGTCATATATTGTGTTGTTTTATTATCAAAACTTGCACAGAATAAAGTCATGTCTCTTACTAGTTTAATGGTGCAACAACTAATAACTTATAGAAACTTAGATTTTGTTTTAGTGGTTTCATGATAATAGCATGAAACATAGCAGACCAAATTTATTACTAGAAGTATCAATAAAATTTTGTGGATAACTTATATATACACATGCATACATATAACTAATTTTTAATTCATTCAGGGAAGATGGCTCTATGCTTTATTAGCTTGCCTTGAAAAACCATTATTACCTGAAGCTCATTCATTAATTAGGCAACTTGCAAGAAGATGCTCTGAAGTGAGATTCTTAGTGGTGAGTTACAACTTTCTATTTCAAATGATATCTTAAATTTGTGTAATGCTTTATTTACAAAGCATTTGATGTGTTTTATATTAACAGAAAAATGCTAATTACTTTACCCTAGATGATGATGGAAAATTTAAATAAAAAAACAAGTTGAAGAATGCACTGAATTATATGGGAATTTTTCCTAATTCAAAATGTCACTGGCTTAGCTTTTTCAAGTATTCATCTATGAATAATCAAACAAGATGTTCGACATGTATAAAAAAATCTTACAATGGCCTACTAATGCATGAGTAGCAACATTTATGCGTGAGCTCCTATACCCTACATCATTATGAATCATCTATCCCTGGTCTGCCTTATTAGGAAGTAAATCCTCTAAGTTCTCTTATGTGCTTTCTCAGTTAAGTATCATGCTATAAGCTAGGACAAACCATTATTGGTTGCCCCCCTTAGACTGCAGGGACTTCTGATGCAGGTTTGCAGTTTTCAGGATTATGAATCTCTCTCTCCACTGACCTTCACAATATAGGTAACACAAAATTTATTAAGATACAGAATTTAAGTTACATTTCCTTAGCAACAGGCTAGAGAGATAGATATCTTCCCTTTCAAGCCCAGAACTATTTTTATCCATAAGGATATTTCCTTCAGGACCCTTATTAAACAAGGAATTGATTCAGAAGTATTATCCTTCCCCTTCAAGGATTTTCTGCTATGTTGTAGTAGCACAAATAATAACTTCTTCTGCAAAGCGCTTGTTTTTTGTATATTAAAAGGAAATTTGGAGGTACTGAGAAAGCAGAAATAAAATATATTTTTATTTTCCTCTTTTTCCAGGAGAGTAAAGAAGATGAGAGAATACCTGCTTTGAATTTATTAATCTGTTTGGTGAGCAGGTATAGTAAAAGCTTTTTTGTTTTTTATTTTGTACTTTATAATAAGTGCTACAAATTACTATTTTGTGTGTATATACACATATGAAATGTATGTTTTTTTATACATGTCTTGGCTATGCGATCATTTTAAAGAAGTTCAAATGTTGAGAAAGTTTAGTTAATATTAAATGGGGAAATAATAAAATGGCAGGCCTGCTTTATACTTTCTTAGCAAACATTTTGAGTTTTAAAAGAAATACATTTTACTTAGATGTCAACTTGGAATTCTAGAACATGTACCTACTTTTTAAAGTGCAAAATTATCCTAGTCCTTTAAACAAGATACCAGCTTATTGGGGTCACTAGTGATTTTTATGCCATTGCTTTTGTATGACGATTAGGTATCAATTAAATTTTGAGCCAAAGTTCTCCATGAGTCCTAAAATTTATCTTTTTAATAGGTATTTTGATCAGCGTGACCTGGCTGATGAACCATCTTGATATTAAAACAATCTTCAATAACAGAATACTTGTGATGTAAAAGAAACAAGCAGCACTACCTCTGTGCAAGCCAAACAAACAGCCCCCATGAAGACAGGTTTCATCAAAATGTCAGTGTTGTGTAAGAACCTTAAATTTGATCTGTCTTACTGAAATTGATGTCCACAGCAAGATCGGTGTTGTGTTTTAAAAGAATAAATTGGCTGAGCAGTATGTCACACAATTGTAGCAATTAGTTTTGCTTAAAAATGTTTCTAATTACAAACCTTTCAGAAAGATCAAAAGTCATACAATAAGTGAAATGCCTTGTATAAGAACCTTTTTTAAGTAATAAAAATTTTTATTAAGTTCTTAAATAATGAATGCTGAAGATATTTGGTGCAAGTAAGTTGTAAAATTTCTTTTGCTGAAAGTGGGATTTGGATACTAAGAGCTCAATTAACCAAAACAAAATTAAAAAACAAAACCAGAAGCCACTTATAAAAACATCCTGTTCTTAGTAACAGGGTTAAAATAACCTGGATTTAAAGTAAAAATGCATCAGCATTAAGAAATCAAACAATATTTATTGCATGCCACTAGTAAACCCATGGGGGGTACTTAATATAAAAGAGATTTTAAACATGTACATGTTTAAAGTTGTTGGAACTGAATATTCCTGTTAGCGAGTATGAAGAATAGACATTCTCAATTATTTATTACTTGAATGCAGTGAAACTGACTTGGACAAGTAACCTTTGCATGTGAAGAGTCATCCTGATTGGTCTCATGTATTTTTGGAGATAGTTCTTTAACCATTTATCTAATCTAGTATCCAACCCACAATTTAATTTCCTTCATCTGATTTCTTTCAAAGATTTACCTCCTTTCTTTCCACCCTTGCTGATCCCAGAAATCCTCTTCCAGTCTTACTTTTTGTAGTGCCATGAGCAGCCTTAAAATACAAAGCCTCTTCATACAAATATGAAAATTACTCATTTTAACATATACCTCCAACTTTTTTTTAAATCCAATTTAATCTTTTTTTTTTCTGGACCTGAAAAAATGGATACAAATGATAACTTTTTCTCTCTAATTCAGTAAGACTTTAAGTTTGTCCTCCTTTTTAATGCCAAAAATATTATCATGAACCAGTAGAGCAGAAGCACAAGGAAACATTGTTATTTGGTTGCTGTGCTTACTTAATAAATTTTTTAATGAAATAAAGCTGAATTTGGTATACTGTGATATACAGCTACAGTGTAGTGTCTCAGTAAAATTTTCTTTGACACTCTCCTGTTCCATCAGATGATATATATATATATATATATATACACACACACACACACATACACACACACACTATGGTAATCTTATTTGAGAGTGCATATTACATCATCTAATAAATTAACATATAGCTTACATGAATCAGTGTACTGTAGAAACTTATGACAATGCCAGTAAGTCAAAAGTTACTACTCAAAAATCTTTATACATGAATAATTTAATCTCTTTACATTGCAGAAGCATTTGAGTACATGCTACATCTTCTGTATCATCACTTGAAATTTACCTACAAAAAAAGAAATATTTATTGAACATTTTGAAATGAAGAAAACAAGTCTGAACACCTATTTTTCCATCTTTTCAATCCTACTTTTTTAGCAGCTCTGACAAAAGGTTTGTTAGGAGAAGAGATGATACTTCTTAAAAAATCTGCTCATAAATCACCATCTTCAATGGAAAAGGAGTTCACCATATAAAGGAATCCCACAGAAAAAAAAATCCATCTGTAAAATGAATTATTCCCTAATCTGTTTTCTTGTTTGGACTTTTATACTGAATGTCACTAAATCTGGGCACATTTAAAACACCGAATTTAAAATCAAATCCTGGGTCTGCCACTTATGAATTTGTGTGACTTTGGGCAAGTCTCTTGACCTCTCTTGGCTTCTAGTTCCTAATATGTAAAATGAGAATAGTAATATTTTCATTACTTATACCTTACAAGGTAGATGGGAGAATCAACTGAGAATGTTGAAGGAACTAACAGTATTTAGCCTGTAGAAGAAAAGATTTAGGGGGAGAGAACCTTTGTTCTGCTAATTCCAGAGAGCAGAACCAGAAATAATGAGTTGCAAAGAGGCAAAATTTAGACCTTCCATAAGGAAAGTTTTCCTAACTACTAGATCTATCCAAAATTGGGATGAACTGCATAAAAAGAGTGGATTCCCCCTCACCAGAGGTCTTCAAGTAAAAATTTTCAAGTATTAGTTGGTTATCTAGTTCCCTTCCAAACCTAGTATTCTGTTGGTGATGTTAAAGCACTTTTGTAAATCGTAAAGCCATATACAGTTATTACAGTTTTAAGTACAATCAAACTGTTCTAGTAATTTAAATTTCCCCAGAAACAAACTAGAGAAAGACATATCCTTGTATCACAACTTATTACACTTGGATTTGAGACTCTCATTTAAAGACAACTACACTCTTCAAGTGTACAATTAAACTTAAAATTAAACTCTTAAGTTCTTGTTTCTTTTTGACTATTACCTAATATGGTATAATTAAATTTTTATCAAATATAGTAAATCTTTTATGAAAAATACACTCTTAAAAAAATTAAGAAAGAGGAACTTTACTTACATGCTGGCATTGCTGACACTTCAGCTGTCACAATACTTTTTATCCCCAAATTTGATAAGCCACCTCTGATTAAGCCACATGTAAATGCTAAATACTAAAAAAAGGAAAAAAATAATTGTGAAAAAGAATACCTCTTGCAAATTCAAGCCACAGTAAATTACATGATAATACTGTTTTAATTTTCTTGTGGAGAAGTTGAGAAACTATAGATTTATAAACTTTACTACAGTCTAACTTCATGCGACTAGGTAAAAAATGCTATGGTGGGAGGTGAAGAGAGGTTTAATTAATCTGGGTGGGTGTTGGTAGACTAGAAGACCACCTCTTAACTATTGTGCCTCCGTGGATAATGTCCTTGGGAAAAGGGAAACTAGAGCTCTAGAGGCAAGTGGCACCAAGGAGATAAGATGGGATAACCAAAGGAAAGGAGAATGATCATGGGGAGGGCAAAGGGTAGAATTCAATCACACAATTTGGAAAACAGGATAATATCTACTACAGGGCAACTTCTACCTTACTTCCCCCCCATGTATTGATACTTGCAAAGTTAAGCACAACCGGATGGATCGATAACAAACTGGTTAGAAGAGGGAGCAAAATCCTGGGGTTTAAGAAGCTTTACTTCCATGAGGAACACAAAGAAATTAAAGAATAAAGATAGAAAACAGATTTTGAATCAGAATCAAAATTCAGGACTGAAAGAGAACAGAAAAAAGCAAGAAAATTCTTAGAAAAAGACAGAAAAATCCAGCAAATGTACAAGTGGAAATAGCAAGGCTACAGCAAAGACAGAAAGCCAGAATGATAACAAGGACTTGAAAGCAGGTAGACCAGGGATTTTTTGTACAAGAAGCTCTACTATTCAACAAGCATCTTTAACAAGACTACTATGTGTGAGGCACTATGGATTCAAAGACAAAAGGAAAACAGTCCTTGCTCTCAAGGAATTTACATCCTAGGGAGGGAATACAATATTTAAAGATAAGTACCTAATTTGAGAAGAAAGAGTGTATCAACAACAATGGGGAGTGGAAAACAATTTCCATAGATTAGCCTTTAAAAGAAGATAAAGAAGATAAAAATTCTGAACAGGAAAGATGGAAAAGGATACAAAGTTGATCACAGGGTTAAGGCAAACTTAATCTTTTCCAACTGGCATTCCATCTCCATGAAATAAAGAGATGGAATACTCTGGGAAACAGCAGGTAGTTCAGTTTGGCTAGCACATAGAATAATGTGTATTATTAATTGGTACTTAGAGTGAAATGAAGTAAAAAAAAAAAAGGCAGCTTGAAACAAATTGTGGTAGATGAACACCACAGAATATTATAGCACCATAAGAAATGACAAAAACTAGGAATTCAGAGAATCACAGGAAGACTTATATGAATTGATGCTGAGCAAAGAGTATAATTAAGCAAAATACAGAATTACAATATAAATAAAAAACACAAAAAAGCAACTGAACTTGAATTAATTGCATTGACCAATCTTGATTCTGGAAAACTGAGGTGGGTATTATAGGTATGGAATTATGTTAGACAAAGTTATTTTTTTCCAGTTGGGTTTTACTTAATTTTTTCTTTATTACAGGACAGAATTATTGGGGAATTACTGGAGAAACGACTGTGGTTTATAAAAAGCTATCAATAAAATTTTAAATTCACAATAATTCTATATTAATTATCAATTAATTACCAAGTTGTACTATTTATTTCAAATTTTAATCAGGTATACACACAAAAATTTAGTATATTATGTTCATTACAAACCCTGAATTAGTGGTTCTCAAAACTGTGACTTGATTTTACTGCAAAGAAGCAAAGATGTTATTTCTGGTACTAAAGGACTACTCTAACATCAGGTGTGTGTGATGCTTATTTTTTTATTGAATTTTTTTAAATTCTGAACTTAAACACTAAATGAACATTTCCATATATAAAGAAAAACAGATGAAGAGGACTGTAATGAAACTACAAATCTAAGCTGTTCTGCTTCTCTGTTTTCTTCTAGTTCTTTTTGTTCTCTTCTGTACATTTCAAGTTCTGTACATAACAACACTTTTTAATGTCTGGAAAAATTCATTATCTGCTGGTCAGCCTGCAGGTTATGTGTCTTACTCAATTTGGATAGCCTGGCCCTCAGCAAACATTCATTCCAGGTCCCAGACCTGTACTCAAGGACATTCTGGCTTGGTGAAGACCTGCCAGAATTTGAATCCAGGATTATATCTATGTCATGTGGAAAGAAAATTGAATTTGGAGTCAGAGGGTTTGAATTTTGGCTCTGCTTTCTATCATTCCTTTTCTTACCATGGACAAGTCATTTGACCTCTCTAGTCTTATTTGCTCAAAATACATAAAATGAGAGCTCTAGAGAAAGCTCTAATTCTATGTCCCAAGTTTTTAAATCATCTCATTCAAAAGAAAAAAAATTAATTAAATTTTCAAAGAACATGTTTCAGAAATCTAATTCTTATGTAGTGATAAGCATTTGCCCATTTTACTTAATTTTACACTTCTGCCTGAGGTTTAAATTTCATGAGGACTCCAGAAATTGTTATTTTATGCAACATCATGGAAAATTCTGCTAATTTAATACCTGAGCTCCCAAGTTAAACCCAGTAGTGAATCCTTTTTTAAAGCAAATTATTTTACAGTGAATAATTATCCCTTTAAATGATAATTTTTCAAGTCTTAGAGACTAAGGCATCTTTATCCTATTTTAAATTCACAAATCTACCATGATCAGCATTGAACATGTCCATCGAATTGTATATTGTTTTTTTCTTCAATAGAGATCGTTAGTCTTCTACGAAGTACCTTAGGAGCGTGATCTAAATACTGTTTTCCTGCTGACATCTGAGTCAGGAGTCGAAATTTGTTGTCCTGAAGCACATAGATGCCCTGAACCCAAAACATAAAAAAAATCTCTGGTCATTATTTTTTAATTCTTTGAGAATTCTCAACCATGCAATAAATAATTATCATACTTTTTAAAAGTTTAAGAAAATACTTTATATTCAAAGTACACTTACTAATAATAAATTTTGTTTGCAAGAAAGCAGGTCAGAAAATATCAGTTGCCTGATTGAGGGCAGTGAATTCACTAGATCAGACTAGCTACTTATGATTACACACAGTATCAGTGCTAACATCCACATAAATTTAATTTTATTTTTGGTTTGGACCTTTAATTTCAATGGTATTAGGAACTCCCAGTGTGGGAACTCCCCACAATGATACAGACTGACAATTCAGCTTTCCCTTTTAAGTTGTAGAATGTTGCCTGGGACAAGAGGTTGAGTGATTTGCATACGGTCACACAGCTAATGTGGCTTCAAGTCCTCTGAGTAGCATTTGAACCCAGTCCTTCCTGACTCCAAGGCTGGATGGCCCTCTAACCAAGGTAAGACTGCCTCTCATACGTAACTAGTCTATTTAATGCTCATCAAATCACCATCCACTAATTACCTTGTGGAGGCATATTCAAAAGATACAGCTCCTTTTTCAATTCAAAGTAAAATATATGAAAATACAATTGAAGATTTGGAAGTAGTGGGCAATATTTAATGATAGAGTATTAATATGTTCTAATACCTGCTAAAAACACCACTATAACTTTGAGGTAACTGGTTTTATATATATTATTCAATTAAGAAAATAAGCCAACCCTACTGTTTAATAACTCTTACATTTAGTGAAATACAGCATGAGTTTATTTAAGTGGGGACATAATCTTGCTTTGTCACATATGGTTAATAGCTACAGTAACAAACCTTGGTGAACATAAAATATATTCGATTGTTTTAAAGTCAAGAAGTCTTCTGCTCTACCTTATTAATCAGTTTTTTATAAAACACCCCTAAGATGAAAAATGTTATGTATTAAAACACAATAAGGGGGAAAACTTTCAAATCAAAGTGAAATCAGTCAATTCTCTCCCCCTTCTCACCCCTCCACAACATTTCATTTATGACAACGGAGGCAGAAAACTTAAGATGTGTTAAAATGTTTTCCACTGATTTCATTTCCCTACCCCTAAACATGAACAATAAAGATAGCAATAACTGTTTCTTCACCTATAAAAATGAGATGTATAACCAGGCTAATAATTCTTATAAACCCTTTAAGCTTTGCAAACTGCTCCTCATTTTATTCTTGAGAAAACTGAAGCCCAGTAAGGTTAAATGACCTACCCATGGTACAGCTGGGTTCTGAACCCAAGTCCAGCAACTCTTTCAACTCTATCATGTTTCTCTTTAAAGTCTCTTCTAGTCCTGAAATTTTAAGACTCCTATTTGAGATTTTACATATTATCACAACTAATACAACAACTAAGCAATGAAACATCCAAACACCAAAGTCATTCTGACAATGAACTTGGGTGCATTTTTAAAGTATTATGTTTTTAAGTAGATTTTTACTGATATCAGTTGCTTATACATTACCTAGATTTCTCCCTCAATATCCTTCCTTTTGATCTCTCCAACAGAGACATCCTTTATAATGAAGATTTTTTTAATAATAAAAGGTAAAAAAAGAAAAAGGAAGATAAAAAAACTAACAAAACCAATCAAAATATTGAAAAAAAAAATGACATTACAGGCAATGTTCTACACCTACGAACCGTCCCCCACCTCTCAGCAAAGTGCAGGAAAGGTATTATTTTCTATTAAAAAAAATACCTAGCTGTCACAGCCAAAGACCCTTCGCTCTTTACTTGGTGTTTCCAGTGCTTATGACAAAAATCATGATTCATTAAAAATCATGACATCATTAAATCTAATATAAAGTGAAAAACACAAATCTAAAAGTTAAAAGAAACAACTCTTTAAAACATCATTTTAACATTTTTAATAATAAAAGCAAATAGTAGAAATAATTTCACTTTAACAAGGTAAAGTAACACATAAAACAAATCTTAATTTGTATAGTACCTGATGATTTGTCCTTAGATTATCAATTTGTTTCTTGAAAACAGTGGTCCAAAAATCTTTGCAAATGAACTTCATGATATCTAATTCATCTTTGAACCTTGCGGTGTCCTTTGTAAATCTAAAAAGATAAAAAAGAAGTTATAATTTTAGAGTATTTTCCTCCAAAGAAAGCAAGATGGGTAAGTCATGAACCTAACTTCCAAAAGGAAAAATTGCATATATTTAATCATTATAACTATGTAATTATTTAGTAACAATTATTTATAATGTAATATTTCAAACATCATAGTAATAGATATCTAGCAAAATGAACTTATATACTGATTCCAACTTATGTCGCCATTAAAATTTTAATGATACAGCTGAAATTTTGAAAACAGGAAGCCAAATGTGTTTTTAAGTCATACTGTATTGATTTCATAGCTTAAACTATGACATACAGCTATTATTTATTCCTAGGTATATTTAAAATAAAAAATGTTTAGAAAGGCAACAGAATTAGAAGTGTACTACAAATATTAAATATTTCATGATAAAGAATATAGAAAAGAATAGGTTATGAAACACAATTATGAATAGAAAAGTATCAGTGTATAACATAACCTTGATAAAAATTTATTTTAAAACTCTAAGAACCTGTTATATGCATAAATATGTTTCTCAAATTATTTTTGATCCTCTGGACTTTAAAACAAATTTCAAATAGGTTAAAAAGCACTAAACTACACTAAGACCATGCAAGTTTTGTGAGGAAAAAATATACACAAAAGTATATTTCAGCTAGCAATTTTTAATGAACCAACTTTGAGAAAAATATATCTAAACTAAAAATCACACAAAATTTCAGCTCATTCAAGTCTACAGAAGAAATACAAGATTTAGGCAGAAGAAATGCAGTTTCATGGCAGCCCACAAAAGTGCTCTTTTTAAAATATAAGTCATTTTAGTTTATAACTTAACCAGTAACAAAATAAAGACAGTTAGCATTGTGCCATAGACAACATGCTAGACTTGGAATTAAGAGAGACCAGAGTTCAAATCCTACCTCTAATACTTAGTGGCTATATGAATACGGACATGCCACTTGAACTTTCTGATCCTGTTGCTGGTAACAATACCTGTAGTACCTACCTCAGAGGGCTGTTGTGAGGATCAATGAAATCTGGTAATGAACTCTGCAAACCTGAAAGCACTATATAAAATGTCAGTTATTTTTATTACTATTAACACTTATTCAAACTGAGCTTACCTTTCTATCAATCCTTGTCCTACTCTAAAACCCATATTCTCCAGCTTAGTAATGCATCTTCCATTTTCCTATAAAATACAAAAAAGGATTCTGAATCTTAATTAATAAAAATCTAATTTCCAAGCTTCAGAAGGCCAGAAATTTGAACTAATCCCCAAAATTAAAAATGTTGATTAATCCCTTCCAAAACTTATAGAAGTTCCCCGGTATCTTCAAACTATGAACAAGTTATTAATTTTTCCTTCTCAATTAAAAATGAACCTAGTAATAGAAAATTATCAAAAGGTAATTTTCTATTATTCACATTTCTAACAATTTTTATTAGTCACTGACATACAAAGGGTACCTATGCTCAATACTTTGCATTTCTGAACTATTACAATGTACTATAACTATCAACAGAATGAATTAATTCCCCTTCCCTACTCTATTTCATTTCTATCAATAGTTCTTTCCTATCTCCCAAATAAGAAAATATTTAATTATAAGAGATAAAGAAGGAAACTACATTTTGCTGAAAGGTACATAATAAATTCACTTCAATACTTAACATATATGAACCTAATGGCATCACTTCTAAATACAATGAAAAATAGTAAAATTATATGAATGGGGGACCTCGATTTATCCATCAGTCCTAGATAAATCTAACTAAAAAATAAACAAGAAAGAAGTTAAGAAACTGAATAGAATTTTAGGAAAATTAGATATGATAGCCCTCTCATGATTAGTGAATGGAAATATAAAGGAATATATGTATGTGTATATATATTTCTCAACTATGCACATTGGTACCTTTACCAAAATTGGTCATATCTTTAAGACACAAAACCTTCAAAATGGAGAAAAGCTGAAATATAAACATCCTTTACTGATCACAATGAAATGTAAATTGTTAAATAAAGGGTCACTGAAAAAAGTTTTAAAAATCAACTTTAGACCAAATAATTTAATCCTAAAGAATTGGAAAATCAAAGAATAAATCAGAGAAACTATAGCTAATTTCATTAAAGGTAATGACAACAATGAGACAACATACCAAAATTTTTGGGATGCAACCAAAGCAGTCCTTAGGGAAAATTTTTTATTTCTAAACACTATCATTAATGAAAAAGAGAAAGAACAGATCAATGAATTGGAACTATAACTAAAAAATACTAGAAAAAAATTTTAAAAACATCAATTAAACACCAAAACAGAAATCTTAAAAACAAAGATGACATTAACAAAATTTATAAAAAAACAAAACAAAAACCCAGTAACTGTAAGTATATCCAAGGCTGTCATTAGCTCTCTTCTCATTTCTCTCTGTACTCTCTCTCTCTTACTGACCTCATCAACTCCAATGGATTTAACTATCATCTCTATGCTGATAACTACTAAACCTATATATTTAGCCCTGGGCTTTCTGTCCTGAGTTCCAGTGGCACATCTGCAGCTGCCTACTGGACATTTTAAACGCAGAACTCATTATCTTCCTCCTCCTCCTCCCATCCTCACCCCACTCCTCTTACTCATTCCCCATTTCTGTAAAAGGGCACTACCATTCTTCTAGTCACCCAGATTTACAATCTTGTTGTCATCCTCATCCTCAAATATCCAATCGGTGGCCAAGTTGTCCCTTCCTCCCCACATCTCTCAAATCTATCTCTCTCTCTACTCCTATCTATCACCTTAGTTGGGAGCCTCATCAACTCTGGCACTATATAGAAATATATTGTATTACATATAATTCCAATAAAAATTTAACTAAACTGATTAACTAAGTTGATTAAAATTATTTATTAACTTGTCAACTATACTTTAAAAAATAAAAAATTTCAAAACAAGTCCCAAAATACCATTTTTTTGAGACATCGAGGTGTGCCTGGTTACCTTATATGCATGGTTATCCTATATGCATGACTATGGCAAGCATACAAAAACAAAAGTGAAACTGTCCCTGCTCTCAGGAAGCTTACATTCTATCAAGAGAAGACAACATATATGTATAGTTATAAATATATACAAAATACAAAGTAATAGTGAGGGGGAAAGTATTAGCATCTGGCCAGATCAAGAAAGTTGAAGTAGATGATGATGCTTGAACAGAGTTTTTAAAGAACAAGGGATTATATTACCTCCATTTTTCAAGGTAAGAAGGGAATGTATTCTAGTTTTGGGGCACAGTCAGTACAAAGGCATGGAGACCAGAGATGTTATGTGATGTTTAAGAAGACCAGTAAAATGGCCACTATTGCTAGATTATAGAGTGCTAGAATGGTAATGTTTAATAAGACAGGAAATCTAGCCAGATTGTGAAGGCCTTTAAATGCCAAATAAAGTTTATACTTAATAGGAGCCCCTGAAGTTTACTGACTAGGAGAATAATATGGTCACACTTATACTGTAGCAGTTGTGTGAAGGACAGATTGGGAAGGAGATCTGAGGCTGAGATATAAATATGGAGCCTACTACAATAGTTCAAGAGAAAGATGTGAGAGACTGAACTACAGTATAAAGAGAAAAGGACTTTTCACTGGATGTCCACCATTCTTGAACTACTTTCCCTCCTTATTTCAGATTGCTAGATTCCTTCAAGTCTCAATTCAAATCCTAGTTTCTCTAAGAGGTTTTTTCAAATCCATCTCAGTGCTAGTACCTTCCCTCTGTGATTGTGTCCAATATACCACATTTATATCTATTTATCTTTCTGCCTATTGAGATTATATTCAATCTACCATATCTATCTCTTTATAGATATAGATAGATAGATAGATAGATAGATAGATAGATAGACAGACATAGTTGTTTGCGTGTTGACTCCCCTATTAGTATGTGAACTCCTTAAGGGAAGGGTCTTTTTTTGTCTTTCTTTGTATCTCCAGCACTTTGTACAGTGTTTGGCACATAGCAGTTGTTTAAGAAATGACTGCTGACTGACTAAAGAACTAATTGTAAAAGCCCAATAAATCAGCGGTAACAATGAAATTCAAAAGAAGAATCTGTTAGCATCCAAGTCAAGAATGGGTGGGTTCAAGAATGGATTGAGGCATTGAGGTAAAGTCCACAAAAGGATCTTCAGCTTACTAGACTTTAAATGCCTACCAAGTGCCATGCACACTAAGTGTTATTAAGTGCTGGGGTATAAAGAAAAGCAAAAACAGTCCGGGCTCTCAAAGAGCTCACAGTCTAACAAGGCAGATAACATGGAAACAAATATGTGCAAATTAGATATATATCAGAAAATTGGGGGCAGTCTCGGGGAAAAGAAATCAAGATCAAGAAGAAGCAGGAAAAGCTTCCCATAGAAATGTACACTTTAGCTGAGATTTGAAGGAAGCTAGCCAGAGAAGCCAGGAGGAGGAGGAGAGAGTCCCAGGCATAGAGGAGGACATTAAAAATGACTGGACTCTGAGAGAGAGGAAGAGAGAGAGTAATTAAGGAGTTAAAAGACTAGAAAGATAGGGAGAAGGAAGGTTATGAGGGGCTTTAAAGGCCAAGCACTTTATATTTGATACTGAAGGTAATCAGGAGCCACTGGAATTTACTGAATAAGGGGTGACACGGTCAGACCTGAGCTGTACAAAGATGGACAGCTGAGTGGAGGCTGGACCGGCGTGGGGGAGGCTGGAGGCAAGAAGCCCAAAGCATGTGATGAAGGGCCGCAGTGTCGGAGAAATGTTACTGGGGTAGGAATTTTAGGGATGGTAATGGGGCGGGGGAGGGGGTGGGAGGAGGGGAGGATGGGGCTGGGAGGACGGGGGAAGAGGCTATTTTGGGTGAAGTCTGCGGACTGGACGGGAAACTAGCACAAAAAAGGAGAGAAGTAAAAAGGGGTTACGGAGGACACCTAGGGACGCTGGAAGAAGAGGGGTCCAGGGCAAAGAAGGGCCCTGGGCCAGGCCAGCGGTCACTCACCACCTCCCCCTGATCCGCGGACTTGTAGACGCCCGTCACCATCTCGTTGTGGAGAAGCAAGAAGAGCGCCTCGTCTGCCATTTCCTGCGGCTTCCCTCGGGCTCCGGGCCCCCGGGAGGGCGGAGGTCAGGGCCCGCGCACGGCCGCCGCCGCGGTGGATGCGGCCGCCTCCGGGGCTACTGCCTCCGGGGCCGCCGCCAGGCCCCACTGCGCCAGAGCCAGGTCCCACGGGCGGCCGGGGGGCGGGGGCTTCACCGTGTCTTCCGAGGCGCCGGCACCAGGCCGGGAAGCGCAGCCGCAGGCGCCGCCACGACCCGAGGCGCAGGAGAAAGCACCCAGCCCCCAACCCCGCCGGCCGGACCGATCCCGCCCCGACCGGGGAACCACTTCCGGTGCCTCTAGGCCCGCATTCCGCCGGCTCTATGGTCGGCGACAGCGCTCCCTCCCCTTCCATTCTTTGCAGCTATTTCCTTTTTTTAAAATTGTTTTACTCTCATATATATATATATATTATATAAATATGTATACATATATATATCTTAAACTCAACATGTCCAAAACAGAAATCTTTATTCGCTGCCCCCTGCAACCCTCTCCTCTTCCAATCTTCCCTACTGTTGAGGGTACCACCATCCTTCCAGTCACCCAAGCTTGAAACCTACCTGGCATGCTTGATTCCCATATCCAATTAGCTTCTAAGTCCCGTTGTTTCTGCCTTAGTAATATCTCTCCCTCCATGCCCCCTTCTCTTCTTTAACACTGCAGGACCTCATCACGTCATACCTGGACTATTACAATTCCCTGCTGGTTGATCTCCCCCACTAAAGTGGCTTCCCAAATCCAATCCATCTTCCCTCAGCTCTTAATTGATTTTCCTAAATGTCAGGTCTGACTATATAACATGGCCCCATATTCAATAAAGTCCAAGTGGCTTCAGTATCAAATATAAATACTATGTTTGGCTTTTAAAGCCCTCCATAATCTATTCCTTTCTTACTTTTCCAGCTTTCTTATACTTTACTCCGTGATTTAGTGATAGTAGACTGTCCAAGTCCAGGCATTTTCAATGGCCAAATGCTATGCCTCTTCATCTCCACCTCCTGGCTTCCTTGGTTCCCTACAAGTCTCAGGTAAAGTCCTATATTCTGCAAGAAGTCTTTACCAGTCCTCCTTAATCTTAATGTCTTTCGTCTTCAATTATCTCCAATTTATCCTATATCTTTTTATCAAATGAGTTTATCAATTTTGTTGTCTTTTACAAAAACTATCTCTTTGTTTTAAAAGTGCATTACTTTAATTTTTAAAATTTTCAATTCCATTTAAGTTTAATTTCCCAAATATCCTCTGTTTTGCAGTGGTTTTGGAGATTATGCCATTGCTGTTATTTTGTAACATCCCCTCTGGGTTGCTCGGTTATAGTTTATGAAACCCCCTGGTGAGCCACTAGAAACAATACGTTCAAAGATATTTACTAAGATATCATAGTAAAAACAACGCAGAGTACAATGGTGGTAAACACATGACTAAGGCAACTCATTCCTCTGTTATAGCAGGACTTTAGGGTCCCATCCCTCCATATAGACTCACCAAGCTGAACTGCCCTGGGTACAGTATCACTTCTAGTCAGGTCACTTAGCTGGAGTTCTTCAATTTGCTCTTCTCAGGAAGTCAGCTCCCATCAGGAAGAACGAATTTTCCCTTGAATCCATAGTTAGCTCTCTTATTGGCTTCAGATTGTCCTGATGCTTAAAGCTGTTTCCTTCCTTGAGTTGCTGCCTTTCTGGAAACCATGTGTTTCTTTTCTTAATCATAGCTCTCCTTCAAAGCACCATGGCAGAATTCAGGGGGAAGAAAGAAAATCACTTCTCCCTTCCCCACCCCTGACTTAACACACCACAAAACTTACACTGTCTTGGACCTTCCAGTGTTTAACATATAATAAATTTAATAAACACTTTTGCATTCATTTGTTCATTCCTCAAAATAATGAGACCTGTTTCCCACTTGCAAGGACACAGTTCCCAGTGTTACAGGGGAAAGTTTTATTAAAAGGGGAGACATGAAATAGAAACCATGGAACCAACAACCATTAGTCCCCAAAATATATGTAAATCCCCAGAGCTATGAAAGCTCCTCTGTCATTGAACTCCTTCCCAACAAGTCCCATCTTAGCTCCTTGTCACTTGAGTAAAAGAATATCTTTCTCTGTCTCTCTCCTTCTTCCTATAGCTTTGGCTCTTTAATCCAGCCAACAAATTCTCAGTTTCTCCAGATAACCAGAGCTACCCTTTATAATATCTTCCTAGGTCTTCCTCTCTTCTCCTGGTTCCCTCTACTCTTTTGCTTCAGGACTCTCCTCAGTTCCTTTAGTCCCAAACTCCCCACCCAACAATTACTCAAATAGTTCCTAAAATAGAGTGAAGGGCAAACATCCCAGCAATGATGGGAAAAGATAACATAATATTTGAACTTCACCAAGGAGTATCTACTTCAAGGATGATAAATAGTTATACTTTATCTCATAAAAAGCAGGCACCATTTGATAATGGCTGTCTGCTTAATTTGTGTAGGCTTTTAACAGCCACTAGATTTGCATGAGGGTAAAATACCTAGGCCCTAGACACTGGGAGAAAATGATAAAAGAATGAATGAATAAAGCAGTGTTCAAAGCACTGTGCTAAGCCCTGGAGATACAAATGGAACAGTGAAACAGTTTCTGTTCTCAAGGAGCTTACATTATAAGGGGAAAATGTGCTGAAGGAAGCCACCAACCATGCTGGTCAGTTCTACAACAAATTTATGTTGACTAATTACAACTGAACCCTCTTTATAATAAGGCATTCCTTTTACTCTTCCCTAATTCTCTATCCCATTTTCCACATGAGCTATTCCAAACCTTCTCTTTTTTCCTCAGATCTCTCATACTTTCACTTCCCATTTCCTTTCAGCAGAAGACTTTGCCTCACACTTTATTTGGAAAATGGAGGCCATTTGCCCAGAACTCCCTTTTCTTCCTTACTCTACACCTCAAAATACTTTGACATCAAATCCCATTCTTTCTTCTTTTATTCCAGTCTTTGCTGATGTGGTAGCCCTTCACTGTACCATTGCCAATTCTCATGTGATTTCATCCCTTAAATGACTTCAAGCAGACCACAATCACCCCATTTCTCTCAAATATTCACTATTTCCCTTTCTATTGGCTCCTTTCCTGCAATCTAAAAATGTGTCCAAGTCTCCTCCAACCTAAAAAATAAACCTTCCCTTGTCCCCTCAAGCTCTTATCCTATATGTTCTTCCCTTTGTCAACCAAACTCCTAGAAAAAGTTTCCAAATTTATTGCCTCCATTTTTTCTCCTCTCACTCACTTCTTAACTCCTTTCAATTTGGCTTCTTATTTCTGGCAGAAAAAATAGTTATCAGAGTCTCCTGCCGAGTGTGTGTGTGTGTGTGTGTGTGTGTGTGTGTGTGTGTGTGTGTGTG